GCTTCTTTGCCTTACCCTTTGTAGTTTATAACTTTGATAATCTTTACTAATTTTTATAGATACACAAATTGAAATTGAAATTCAGAAATGGATTCTAAATGATCCTTATACCAAGTATTTTATCAATAAAAAATGGACTCAGAAAAAATCTAGTAACCAAGCTTTCAATATATATTAACCATAAACCGAAATGTACACTAAGCATAAAAGGTCTCAAAAATGACTACAAAGTAGGAAATACCGAAATGTTTTTAGTTGTCAGTAGAAATTGAAATTGAAATTCAGAAATGGATTCTAAATGATCCTTATACCAAGTATTTTATCAATAAAAAATGGACTCAGAAAAAATCTAGTAACCAAGCTTTCAATATATATTAACCATAAACCGAAATGTACACTAAGCATAAAAGGTCTCAAAAATGACTACAAAGTAGGAAATACCGAAATGTTTTTAGTTGTCAGTAGCAATGTTGGTACCATAATTTTGATGGAAGCTAAGTTCCACATAACTGCTATGGTTTGGATCTGAGGGTCCCTCTGAAAAGCTCATGTGATGAAGGTTTGCTCCTCCATGAAAAACATTACTGAGATCCTGACGGGGTAAACTTCAACAATGGCTCAACCTACAGATGAGTTCAGAGATGGGTGTGCTATTAAGAAACGGGCCTGGCTGGAGGAAGTAAAGGGGCAGGGTTTGAAGGCCTATCTTGCCCCTGCCCTCCTGGCACTCTCTGCCTTCAGTCCACCATGAGATGAGCCACTTCACTCCAGGACACGCTCCTCCCAACCACAGTCTTCCACTTCACCACGTGGGAACCTACAAGCTATGGGGCCAAGTGACCATGGACTGGAAGCTCTGATATAAGCACTCAAATATCTCCCTCTCACCCAAGTTTCCTCAGTTGTTCTGACACAGAGGCAAAGGGAACCAACACAGTAACCAAAATAAATAAATGTACTACCCGTAGAACCCAACACAAAAGCATAAAAGCCAAGAAAACCCCCGTAAGGCCAAATAAAGCATCACCAGGAACTCACAGTAACTTTGTCTCTTTCTAACATGCTTTTCCCCAGCTTTGTCCACTGAAAAGACACAAAGTTGTAAGAGCACAGAGTACTCCAGCTCCCACACTGTGTATACAAATACCACTTCCCAAATAAAGATTTAGAGAAGGCTGATTACTGTTCTAGTACAAGTATGTCTGGAGAAACAGGCGTCACAAGCCAAGAAGACTGCATTATCATAACCGGAGTCAACATGAAGCAGCTTGAACTGAGCAAAAAGGGAAAAACTGAAGAATTGGGAGAAAATTATTACCATGGATCAAAGCTAATGAATTATATAAACACTCATGAGATAAGAACGATACTTTAAAAACATCTTTAGTTCTCTGTGACTGTTGCTAAGCAATAAGTCATTATTCTAAAATTTCATTTTTTTAAAAAAGGAAAAGGGACAGATGTGGTGGTGCAAATCTTAAACCCTAGCGCTAAGGGGGCAGAAGCAGGTGGATCTTGGCGAGTTAGAGGCTAGATGAGTCTAGACAGCAAGTTCCAGGTCAGCCACAGCTACACAGTGAGACCCTGTCACAAGAAAAGGAAACAAACAAGCACTTATCCTGCTGTTCTAATATGAGTTACACCTCTAACTAACCAAATAATGGTCAGGGTTCTTTTTTATAAAAAAAATTTTGGTTAATAAAAGCAAATGACTGATGGTTTGATTTGTTTTAAAAAGTCACCATTTTTTATAAGTTGATAGGAAACTTTATATTGGATACATTTAAACCTATTGAACAATCTTTACTTACTGAAGAATAATCAGACATCATATAATTCCTAATGCATTACAATAAGTAAAAAGCACCAATCCTTCATTCATACCAAAATAAGTGGGCCAAGCTCTAGCTGGAAGATTACAAAGAAAATACAAGTTGATTATCACTTACCTAAAATGCTTGGGAAGAAAAATATGTGTATGCATATCTTGGGGATGGATTCAAAACCTAAACACAATATTCATACTTCATCTACAGCTAATACATATAGGCAGAAGGATACTTCAAATACAGTTAGGAATTTTTTGCATGAAACAAAGTTTTACAGTGTGGCATTTGTGTCATGCCAATGTTCAAAAAGTTTGGAATTTCTAACATTTTGGATTTTCAGGTAAGGGGTGCTTAACCATCAGGAGAGTATGTTAAAAGAGTCAACAAATATCTAGCAAAATAAATCTATAATGTGAGACATCTTATGGTTATTTTTACCCAGCAAATGAATGACACGAAAGAAGAAGAGTAGGGTCAAGAGGAGACGCTGCAGAGATTAGCCTTCGTGAGAGTGGACAGACGGGTCAGTTTGACAGAGTGCAGACCTTGCTCATTCTGACAGAAGCAAAGCAGCTGTAAGGATTAGCTTTAATTTCACTCAGGCTATAACTCTGTATTACAAAACCTTATTATTATTTTATTATTTGTGTGTGTGTATGAGCACATCATGTTTGCTGGGAAATGTACATGCCACATGCACATGTGGACGTCAGAGAACAACTTTGTGAAGCTAGTCCTCACTTTCCGCTTGTTTTTGGGTTCTGGAGCTCAAATTCAAGTCACCAGACCTGCATACCAGGTACCTTTACTCCGAGACATCTCACCAGTCTAATCATACATTTTAAAAAGATGAAAAGCACTTAGCTATTGGATACATACTGATATTTTTATGAAGGAATAGACACAATAGCCAAGATTTCCTGTTAAAATATTACAGTCTCTCCTAAAATTGTCAGAGGACTATGATTGACAAAAAGTTGAAGCTAGGTCATAGGCGATTCACCACGACCACTCCTCTGTTTGTACCGAAAATGTGGCAATAAAAAGGGTTTAAGAAAGTAATGACATCTCTGTGGGTATATAAAATAAATATTTCATGCAAAATTGATTAACTGAACAACCAGCTACTCTTTTTAACTATGATACCCATAAAATGAAGACTAACAAGTTCTTCAGGAATCTGTAGCTATATACAAAATTATTTATATTTCATGCTATATCATTAAGTACGACCAACCAATCTCTCTTAGATGTTATACTCTGAGAGATCAGTCATGCATTTTATTG